GGGGGGGGGGGGAGGAGTAAACTATTAACGCTAGTCATACCGGTATGTTGACGGCGTTGATATACCCTGATGCGGTTGTCATTAAGCGGATCTTGTACTTTTCAACTGAAAAACAAATTAAAAAAAATCTAACATCAGTTTCTTTTCAATATTGTTTGAACTTTTCAAATCAAATTATTAATTATTTGAATTATACAAGATTGATTTTGTGGTAGTTTTTTTATGAATGTTTATCATTTGTATTGAAGGGATCACGTACTTTCTATCGTAGCATATTTGTATTATTTTAATCTCTCCATTAATATAGTAGAGACAATCTCAAAATGAACATACCTGCCAAGATAGACTGATCGCGGTTCTTTTGCTTGTTCTGAAGTGCTGTCTTGTACTCAATGGTACTATATGCAGGTCTTGCTGAGTTCAGCAACTATATGAATACCATTTATCCAGAAGTTCATTTGTTTTATATGAAAAAAATCTTCTTTTATATAAACACAAAAGGAAATAAGGTCATTGGATTTAGGGCAAAGGGACCATAATTTTGCCATTTTATAAGTTTAACTATAAATAAAATATATATGAAGCAGAACATAATGACGAGGATGAACATACAAATGTGCTAAAAAATAACATCTAAAAACATTATTTAAAACTAGCATTTTTTATTCTTTGCTTTGCATTGTATGAAGATGGTTGCCTTATTGGTGGACATTGTATAGAAATAAACGGAAATGACAGCAGTAAACTTCTGCACAATATTTAAAAAGAAATTGTCTATTATGGTAATCTCCCGATAAAACATGTTGATTTGGTTACTTACTGAATACTGTTGGATGGGTATATCATCATCCGTGTTGTTGGTGACCATACTGAAGTCTGTCTTTGACATGCTTGACGTCACGATTGTTAAGCCTTCCAACAAAACATCATGAAGCATCGCATACTGTTCCTGTAATAACCAGTTTATATATAAGATATCAGGTATGAAATACAATGTAGTATCTACCTTTGTCCGATATATGTATTTTGTAAACAATAATTATTGAATTATCCAATATTCTTCTTTTGCCCTGATTGATTTATTTCAATTATACTTTTTTCCTACTCATTGCTGCGAACATTTTTTTATTAATCTGACGTCAATCATAACTGCATCTGAAAGATGTACATTTGCTGACCATGTAACTTGTCTGTGTTGTCACAGAATATGAATAAAATAATATAGAATCTATGTTCAGACATGTCGTTGCTTATTACTCAATCGAATATAAATTCAGCGGGAGAAAAGCAAACATTAATTAACACACAGATCCGTATTGATGTAATTGGTAATTGTTTAAAGTCACAAAGACATTGTCGAAAGGTAATGGAATTTGTATCCAGAGGCCATACCGCTGTCTGAATCATATTCATTCTGTCTTTCCGCATTTTTTCGGTGTAGGCAAAAACATCAATTTCTCCGCTGGTGTTTCCTTCCAGCAACAAAGCGTCTAGTCCAATGAAACTACCTGTTCGTCCAATACCAGCGCTGTAACACATTTTCATTTAATATGTATAATAAAAAATACTTTTCAACAAAATATACTGACGATAACTTAGTGTTACAATTCTCACAATTTTTAAAAACATAATATTAAGACATGGAAATTATAAATACAGTGTACTCTAAACACGAACCCTAGCCATTTATTCATACAGTTTACACCTGTGGTGTTCATTTGACTTTAGTTATACAACTGACATTTACAGTACAGTCTTAATGTAGACTTGAAATGTTTTCTTTTTTTTAAATTATATTAAAATTTGAACAATATCCCATTTTCTTTTTAATGTCTTTGAGACACCTTAACGAAATGAACGAGTAGGATTACAAACATAACTTGAAAGATCCCAACAAAAGAACTATAAGGTACCTGCAGTGTACAATTAAAGGCCCTTTATGGTCGGTATGGCCACTCCTAACACGCTTGTAAAATTGGAGGAGCTCGAAAGGTTCCGGTACTCCGTGATCTGGCCATCTTGTGAAGTGGTACTGCGATATGTGTCTGGTGCTGTTTGTCTAAAAGACGTATCTTTATTATAATTTGCAAACCATAGGCTTTACTTATCACTAATGATGATTGATTTAGATTTCAAAAAAATAAATTAATTTCGTACCAAAATGCATTATTTACATATGTTCTTTGTTTTGCATTGCATGTTTTTTGTTCCTTATTTTGCTAACAAAGCAATTCTCTGACGTTAAGTCCAACCAGTCTGAGTTTTTATAGGTTCTTTTCGAGGTTCAGTTAAAGGAAAAGAATTAATACCTATTCATACCTGTTTGTTTTTCACTACGAGTTTCCGGGTGGTATAGAAGGCGTACGCCACCTCCTCCTGTAGTGTCACTTGGAAGAGGCCTAGCTCCAAGGGATTCCCATCACTTCCTGTCCAGTAGGTTGTACATTTTACCTATTAATGATTATTTGATTGAGAGAAAAGAAAATTCTAGTTGACTGTAAAGAGAAAGAACAAGTTATAATACAATATTTTTAAATAGCCAATCATAAAGCACCATATCCTGTTGAAACTAATAGATTTTATGAGTGTTAGAATAAGAAAACCTTGTGAAGCCCGTTTTTCGGCACCCGATATTATTATTGTTTAAACGGGGGTTTGAGGAGGAGATTGATGGGTGGGTGTGTGGATGGGAGGAGGGGGTTGTGTTCGTGTTGTTGTTCTATTTTAGATGTTTCTTTTTTCTTTTGTTTTCTCTATTTGTATCGAGTTTTGATGTATTCTCATAATATATTGTCACAGTTCCTTTACCTCTTATTATGTGTGTATATAATGGTTGATTTTATCTGTAATGAAATTAAGAGTTTCTATTTTATTTCATCACTTAAAAACAAATGCCTCACGATCATCAACATTAAAAAGCTTGATATAAATTGATACTAATAAGCATTTGTTTGAGAGAAAAGATTTTTTTTCTAGATGACTGTAAAGAGAAGAAACAAGTTATAATAAAATATAATAGCCATTCATAAAGCACCATATCCTGTTGAAACTAATAGCGCCAGAGGTTATCGTAACCCTTTGCACCCTTTCACAGATTTTACGAGTGTTGGAATTAGAAAACCTTGTGGAGCCCATTGTTGGCACTCGACATCATTATTTTTGCCGGGGGTTGCGGAGGGGGTTGGTGGGTCTGGGGTTGTGGTTGTGTTGTTCTATGTTAGATGCTTTTTTCTGCTGTCTTGTCTCTTTGTGTCGAGTTTCGATGTATTCTCATAATATATCGTCACAATTCCTTTACTTCTTCATATGTGTGTACCACTACAAAAGGTTGATTTATTTTTGTAATAGAATTAAGTATTTCTAATTTATTTAGCACTGAAATTGAAACGTTCGACATAATAAGCTATTCAGCATATCTAACATCCATTCCTTCGTGGTTTAATATTGACGCCAATTGAACATAGACGGTGTAGAAAAACCCTTGCAGTGTACTGTTTTCGTATCAATCTTGTACGGAGGTTTAAAAGGTATTCAATACGTCACCTTGCCAACTTCTACCAGGTTTGCCAGCATCACAATTTTTCCACAGTTGTTTTGCCACGCCATCCGCCAGAATTCCTCTAGTGTCATTGTCTTTGGACCTTATTTATTTGGAAATGGATAAACAAATTGAAAAATATTTTTGGAAAAAATGATATAATCTTTTAATTATCTATATATTTATTCATATTTGAAAAAGGTTACTGCTGAAATTCCTAAAATAACATTTTCTAACCTTATATAAACTAAAACGATGAAAGTTGAGTTCTTGAAACATGATTACAAACTGGAAATACTCAAAATTTTCTAAAAGATTTAAATATAATCGAGCGTAAAAAATGTTAGAGCAGTATATTTGTATTCAAATATGTATACTTTTATCTGAATATAATGTCATCGACGCATGTTTTAAACAATCGCATGATAAAATGCATTACGCACCTTGTGTAGCAATGTATATCTTCTGATTACGGACACCCTATAAAATCAAACAACAGCATGATGGTTAATCTTCATTCAAATTAACTAAAATCACTTTGAAATTGATGTATGATAATGAAGTTGAATACATATATATATTTATAGAATCATACATACATCGATATAATTGGCATTGATGTAGTCGGTACTTCCTTTCTTCTCCTTCTTTAGAACAACTCTGGAGTGATCATCTAAAATGCATGTACAGCATGTAATTCATAACATATTATTGTGATACTATTAGTTACACAGATTTTTGGCACAGTATCGAGATGGTATGGCCCTAAAGGGTTTCGTATTTCCTGAGGCCGATAGGCAAAGAAACATAACAGGCACAGTACCTCATTTAGTTTCGTTTTATCAAATTCCTGGAACTGTTCTTCCTGATTCTTTTCTTTTAAATACGTCCTCAGCATGTTTGCCGCTCGTCTGTTCGACTTGTGTGTGTTATGTGGCACATAGTTAGCCCTTTTGCGAGTATTTCCTCATCAGTATGCGAAGCGAAACGTTTTGCCATTTTGTTAACAGCGAAGCAGACGACGAATGCGAGTTGTCTCCCGATGCCCAGCCGTAAGATACAAAGATACGTGACCCGTATACCCCTTGTAAAATCACGTGATTCCACCGTATTACTGCTGAGAATCACGTGACATGACCGTATACCCCCTGAGATTTTCGTAAACCCCCTGAGATTTACGAATGCGGTTTGGTACACTGTAGTTTTTAACCAATCAGATTCCTAGATTTTTCTCAAATGGGTAATAATGTACAGTATAATATGTAGACAAAAGACAAAAAGAAAAGAATCTCTTTTTTTTCTTTTAGATTTTCAAAACATATGTCATTCTGCATATAACAAAGTATCAAAACACGTTAAGATTCCTAATGAATTGTTTCTTCATTTACAACATGCATCACCAAACAAATTTTAATATCAAGAGAAGTGACACTATTTTGTAATATTATTTTTTGTTAATTTATTTTTACATTTATTCTTTTAGTTTAATAAAATGATGGAATCGATTAAATACATTAAACATATGCCCTTATCCAACTTACATGGAAATGTAGTTTTGAATCTATTACGTAGTAAGTTTTGTTCCAGCTTTGCATTAGTGTGTGGATGTTTCAAGCCGTGCGGTAAGCTCTACAATATGTTCAAATTAAAGAAAAGTTGTATGTCAAATCTAACTTGTATGAATAGGCAACAGTAAATTTTATTTTATCAAAAATATACAGTAGATGTCACAATTATCAGTTAACTTCTTATATTCTGTATCATTTATTATTTAGTTTAAGATATCAAAAGTATACAAAAATTTCATACATTTATTATACATCAAAGAATCTTAAACCTGATTTTTAGTTGAATGACACATATCTAACATAATAAATCATATTTAATTAAAATGCAATGTGATACTGACTCCAAAAGTACAAGTAAATATTATATAATGTAAATGAATTTTCCCTTTCTATATTTACCTTATATTCCACTCCGAACATATCATTTTCATGTTTGGTTGTAACAATTTCCTTGAAGTCAGACACCATGAGCTTTGTCTCTGCTCGAACATCGGCGTCATTTGGGTCATTGGCATAAATAACCTCGTCCTCGTCAATATCAGTTTCGTTCACTTTTGGTGTTTTCACTTCGAATGGTCTTTTCCTTGTGTCCTTAGTAACAATATTTACATAGACATTTTCACCCCCTGTAAAGTAAGAAAATAAACCACCAGATCATATTCTATTCTTTTGTATATTTGATCAAGATTATTACCTTTAATTTCAGATATACGATATGATAATCAAACAAGTATGTACTGGAATATGCATGGTAGTAATAAGCTTAATCTGCCTTGTATCACTATTTTTATCTTGAGTTTATATAATTTAGTGATACAAATGTATTACGAAGAAGCAACAAAATGTGTCTTAGTTACCCTTAGTGCCTGGATGATTATCCGATGAGATATAATTGTCACCCACAGGTCTTTCCTTACTTGGTATTCGGCGTTTCCTGAATTGAAAATGCAAATAATCGTCATTACGATACAGGCTAATTCATGTTGAGAGAAAGAAAAAATCAATATTCATATAATCGCACAGATATAAAAATGCTTTTGAACTACATGTAAACGTAGATTGAGTCCAATAAAAAGATAGCTTATAATGAACACATTACATTTATGCAATTTAAAAATTAGTTTAAATATGATGAAAACAATATATTCACTGACCGTACAAAAACAACCACGATCAAAATGACTATCAAAACAGCAACAACGGCGGCCACGCTTCCTCCTACCAGGGCACTACTGCCAGGCGAGCTTTCTGAAGACTTTTGGTGTAATGCTATTGAACAAATTAATATATTTATAATGGATATTTCTCTCCTATACTAAGCCATTATGCATCTAAGCTATGATAGTTCGGGTGCTTGGTTTGGTTTTCCTTCAATTTTATATACTAAAATAAATGCTTCACACTCTTGCAAAGTCGCACTAATGCTTTAAGATACGATGTTAGATGTAATATACTAACTTGTCAAAGATTTATGAAAGAATATAAGACTTCATGCCCAGAGGTGTAGGATAGGGAAATTCTACTTGATGGGTTTTCAAATTTAGTAAAACCCGAGGCTTTGCCGAGGGTTTTGCCAAACCTGAAAATCCTGAGGGTGGAATTTCCCTATACTACACCTCTGGGCATGAAAGAGTATTTTTCTGCCATTAAAACCACCAGAACAAGCTCAGAAACCCTGCAAATGCGTTTGGAGTATTTCTAGCGAAAACGAATCTGTCAGCAAGATTTAGCATACCCCACTTTGCAAAATTACGCAGAACAATTAATCTCCTCTTTCTGACGTGTACGGTAAATATATCGTACAAGGTTTCAATTTCATCACGTTGCCTTTTCCGCACTGCGCCATCGGAGTTTTCCAAATTCGTGATTCGTCATTGTTCACCCATTGTGACGTCACGTCACATGAAATGTGGAGTAAGATTAATAGAATCTCACAGCCCCTTCGGGGCGAGATAGGGGAATTTCATTGTGTATAATGCACATAATTTTATGTTAACGTTTCAGGCTAAATTCAGGATTGACGTGATGTTGATGGGCTGTTGACGTGACGTCATACCATTGTTATGAATAGGGTAATCCCTCCGTATCAAGCCTATGGTGAGACATGTTATCTCACACGGGTAAACGTGCGGATAAATAAAATATATTACCTGTAACTGAGCGAGATCGGGTTATCTCAGTCGAGAGCTAAGATTATGTAACATAATCCCAACCGAGGCGTAAGCACCTTTTCGTTCAAATATTTTTTTTAATTGTGCCAAAGACTTCAAGTATCCCGTCTGAGACCTCAACTTGATATGGCCTGTACATTACAAAAGCTAAATTTGAATGCTTCCGCGTAAAAGTCTAGTTCGTCTTTACAACGAAGACAACGTATTTTAAAGTGTAAATTATATTTTATCTACAACATCAGATATCTAACTACAAATGTACATCAACACAAAACATATAACGACAAAACAGAATATTTATAATGCGGATGGAGCCGTTTTCGCGCGGATGAATACGTTGCTGTGTAAACATTCCGCGAAATGTCACGTAAAGGTACCAGACAGATCAGACGAGATAGAAAAATCTAGCACGAGGTATGACGTTGGATATCTCTGTCTGAGGTGCGAGAAACACCTGTCCGTCCATTGTAAGAGAAAGACATGTCTACCACCCCTTTCCTACCCTGGACAGCTCTATCTATTTTGACTTATAACAAACATGGTCCTGAAATGAGAACTGGCATGAGAAAACGTTTCTGTTAATCAAAAAAATTGTGTACTACAGGTGGTTTATCGAGCGTTTTTAATTTAATTTCAAAACAAATCTTGTCATAGTCAAGCATGGAAACACTAGACTAGCAAACAAACAAACAAAAATAAAACAAACATATTCAGGCCAGAATGTAATGCCAAAAAAACCTTCGAATAAATCTTAAATTAGTTTACCACCTGTTAGTGTACAGCATAGCCAGCAGAGAATTGGAATACCCTGATTTTAGATATGGAAGGTTATATAAATCTGAGTGTCCAATCTTAACCACAATAACCAATGTCACTACACCAACCAAAGACCACAATATTTATGGACCCAAATTATATATTGTGATGAACACTATTATTATACCCCATCACAAATGAGCATTAATATTACCCGCTTAAATGTTCATGATTAAGCTAAATCAGACAGTTACAATAAAATGAAATGCAAGCTCAGTACTAATATAAAAATCCATACCTGTGTAGCAGATTTTAATTGTACATATGATTAAGGTCGCCTTCTAGCTTCGATCCCCGGTGGAATCACACTAGTATCTTTCCTGTTACATCTGAATACCCTCTGTCATTGGTTTAGAGAAATGATAAGGCATGAATGCAAAATCATGTCATCAAATCATTAATGAAATTTCATACTCAAAAAGAGGAAAGTACTAAAACGTGATACTACGTTTCAATATTATAATTTGATAGCTTCTTAGATGGAGATGACATTTTGAAAAGTAAATGATCATGGAAAATCGGATATCTCATGACAAAAGACGATATGTGAACAAAGACAAGTTCGGTAAGTGTTTTAATACGACGTTTAAAATATGCAAACACATATCCTAAGAAGGGCAACGAAACAAATTCCGGGATTCAGATATCTGTCATTCGGAGCGGCTCAAAAGATTCAATTTACCAACTTTCAACTACAGAAGTGCAAGAGGTGAGGTTCTAGAAGAATTCAAGATAACGAGCGTTTCCATGGTACTTGGTAGCATCCCAAAAAAACTCTATCCACAATATTTAAACATTTGTATTAGAAATATTGTTTTCCCTTCGAGTAGTAAAATTATGGAACAGAGTTTGTGATATCAGCACCATCGATTATTATACTGACACGCAAAAGAAACGTAATCTCCAATTTCCGGTAATATTTTTTTTATATATCACTCAAAAGTTCCGTTTAAATAACATAGCCAATTAAAGACACACATCTATTATATTGACTAATTTAGTTTATTTAGCGCTAGCGATAATCACTCTGGCAAGACAACAGTCAAGACTGAATTTGAATTTTCAAACATGACCCCCGTTAGCATTTGTTGCTGCTCGCATTCTGTGATGCATATAGTTAATTAGACGGTTTATTAGTGTCATACGGATGTTCTGCCACTCTTCCAGAAGCGCCCGGCGAAGAGCGTGTAGATTTCTCCGGTAGTTTTTGGCGCGTTCGAATGCGTCGATCCACACGTGTTCTATTGCCGAGAAATCAGGACTGTATGGGGTCAAGGTAACGTGTCGACATTTTGGCGATAGTCACTTGTACGTCTTGCCACATGGCACCGAACATTGTCTTATTGAAAGATATGTTATGCTGACGGACAAACGACACGACGACAAGTTGTAGAATGCCGTCAATGTACCGTTGAGCTGTCAAATTGCCTTCAATGACGACTAAGGGGGTTTTGCGGCCACTGCAGATCCCATCCCACACAATAACGATGTTACATGTACCAGCAAATCTGTCGCGTTCTACCCATGAAGTTATCGACATAGCATTCACCACGACGTCGAAAAACACTCTGATGCCAATCTGTGCGGTAAAGCGTAAATCGTGGATCGTGACTCGGCGGAGAAGAGTACACGGCGCCATCGTTACATAGGCTGTAAAGACGACATATTGTGCTTTTGTGGACATTCAGTAATCTTGCCACCGCATTGTGGAAGTTTCCAGCTAATAGAAACTGCACCACCCTGTTGTGTACATCGTTAGTTAATCTAGGCATTCTGACCTAATCACAAACAAACAAAAATTCCCGGACTATTCTTATCCGATACCTGCAGAATAATAAACAGGTCTGGGACGCATGCAATGCGGTCGCGTGCATCGTTGCACGTGCTAATCGGGCTATGTATTGAAGTATTGCGGACTCGAGAACGCGTAGTGTGACAGAGTTCAATCAAACGTGAATTGATGGTGAATATATATGATACTATGCTATTCAACACAGTTAACAATAGTTTATTAATATACTAGGGAGGCTGCTTTTCTTATGTGTGTCAGTGTTCATTTAAAACAAACTCGATAAAGGTTGGAATGATCAGGAACTGAAATATAATATATAATTTCAGAGCTAATATACTTACCTTTTTAAACATGTGATGTACATAACCAAACTTGAATATAGGTGTACATGTATGCATGTTTTAAAATGTGTCGGAGTACGTAGAAGAGGATCATACAGATCCTGTATCGGAAAATAGACTAAACCTAATGTCTCAGCAGTTAACTATATCGACATACAACATATTACTGCAGGTGGACAATATATACTTTACTAGCAGTATAACCACTACCCCGCTACTATGCTACATCTGCATTATTAGAACCAGTTTTGTTCAAATATAATTGGATACATGTAGTACTGTGCTTATTCCTGTAGATTTCCTATCACTCAAGCAAGTATTAAATAGAAACTTTTAATGTAATGTAACAATATACATATGCTAAGATGTTTTGTGATTTCCTACATCAATATTGGATATAACAATGTCGTGACCATTTATTGATCTAGCGCAAATGTATTAGGTGAAATAGAACATAATTGACAAATAAGCAAGGACGCAATCAATTTTAGATTTCATATAAAGAGAAAATAAAAGTAAAACCGGCCACAAAAAAAATATAGCCAAATACGTCTCTCGGACGATAAGCACCCCAAGGTGCCACAAAAAGAAATCAAATAGGCTTAAGTAATAGTGATAATGTTTTTAAATAACTTACATTACTTTCTAAGTTCCTGCGATTATGAGATCATGTTAATACATAATTAAATCATTACCTTGACTGCATGTGTCTCCATTCCAACCTTCGGTACATCCAGGTTTATTACATGTCCCATTTGTCCTGTCACAGCCAGGGTTAGCACAATGGCACGTCTGGTTACAGTCTCGTCCAAACGTAATGTTGACACACCCTGTGTTTCAAATACAACAGCAGAAATTCAATACACGAGTAAGTAGTTCCACGTAAACACACGGTACGATATTTGCAAAGGGTGTATGTCATAATTGGTATATTATCATAAATAACATATTCCCTTCCAATGACGATAACTTAATTGAGATAATAAATTGAAGCCCCACATAATGTTATTACAATAGCAGTCTTTGTACATATAAAGTAATTATCTTTGACGGATGTCCGTTTGTATCCGTACGCTCCGTTTGATGTGATTGTGACCAAAATCATGGATTGACACCCAGTGTTTTGATTGACGTTTGTATTTTAAAATGTGTACTTGTTCTAGTAATGTTAATTTTATTTCCGGGTAATAACCTGGAACAGCTGTGTATATATCCGTGAAGCTTTTGATATCTAATCTAGACACTATCGCTTTACATGCCAATTTACAACATGCTAATATCCCATTTGGGTTGGGGAGGGAGTGCATATGCATATATTCCAGTGTGTAATGTACATGTTAGCATATTTATCTATAATTCCACCTTTCACTCAACAGTTACAAGTTACAGTGAATGTTTAACATATTTAATGAGGTCTCCTTCCAAAACTAAATATCAATAAAGGAGATAGAAGGCTGACATCCAACGTGTCACAGCTCCCATTTACGTAGTCGCATCCTTCTCTCTGACAGTGACAAATTTCAGAACAATTCAAGCCAAAATATCCACCGGAACATTCTGTATATAAAACGATTTGAAAATAATGACGTCACAAACATTAAACAGTTTTTTTCTAATCTGTAGATGCATATTTCACACACATGTGTCGCAGAAAAAATGTTCTGTGGCATTTTACTTACTATGACGTACGAGTCGAAATGTAATTGACGACAGCTAAATAGGAACATCATAAATCTGACGTTTTAATAAAACGTAGATCATTACCTTGACTACATGTGTCTCCACTCCAACCTTCCGTACATCCAGGTATGGTACATACCCCACTCACCCCGTCACAGTCAGAGTTACCACAATGACAGGTCTGGTTACAGTCTTGTCCAAACGTATTATTGACACACCCTGTATTATAAAATTTTACTATCAAATCTGATGGACATGTACGTTAAATAAAGGTAAAATTTTCAAAAGATTGTGTACCAAAGCCATCACATTTTTCTTTCGTATATTTAAGTGCTAAATTATTAGACACACTTGTGAAATATATTTGGTATTACTGAAAACGCTGTTAGATATTGTTTATTCCATTTTTCTAATGGCAACCCTAGCCCTGAACGCGAAGCGACAAATCAAGCTGGCATAACGTGATTTGGATCCTTTTACGGCTAGTATGTGTTGACAATCCTATGCGACAAAATATACTTGTATGTACACAAAATTAAATAAACTATAAAAGTAATTATTAAATGCTATTCATAACCTATGATTTAGTTGGTAACGTACTATCAATATATAATTCTTAAAAAAAAGTCCCGTCATTTCAATTCTGGGCACTACGCGTTGTCGATACTTTGAAGCGCCGATTCAAAAATGATGGGGAGCGGGGGAAAATGCAGAGATTCGTCACAAGCTATCCTGGTGGTGAATTCAAAAACACCTATGAAAGTGATACTGATGACCATGATTCTTTTGTATTTTCTGCAAATCGCTTTGCCTAACTTTGGACTTAGAGACGCAGACATGTGTTTCATATTAATTGAGCTAGCCCCCGATTAAATAGTTAGAATTGATAGCCTGCATAGTGTGCTGACTTCATCGAAAATGAGACTTATCTGAGTAAATAAACAGTAAACATGATACACTGACGCGAAGTTAACAATAGGTCTGTGTGATGCGGAGACAAAGGACCCTGCTTTTAGCATGAGTTTTCATGTTTTTTTCCTTAGAGTAAATATGTAAAAAAATATCAAGAGTTCATATTAAAAAGCATTGATCATATTATTATTTTAAAAGTAGCTCCTGTCACATTTCGATAGAATCATAATTATCATTATTAAAAACATGAACTACATGTTAAATTTATTATGCTCTTAGTCCACTCCTCCATCCCTAAATCTTAACCAACTTCCTACTTAACCCCAGATTCGTATGTAGTAGAAACTGATTTTGATGTCATTTTTTGAAAATAATTACTTTACCCCGACCAAGGTCTTGAGCTCGCCCTTTCAGTTTACAAGGTTAAGGTTACAAGTTTGGTCAACTTAACACGTATCACATCATTTATTTAGTCACAAATCTAAAGCGATGGATATGATAATGCAGTTATCTTTTCAAAGCGGGTTAGTCTAATACATGTATGATTTTGTCAAATAAATTATTCAATTAACCAATACACCTGGACCTTTAAATAGATCAATAACGTATGTGCAATTAAACTGATAAAACTTTCTGCTTCCAACACATGACTGTAATGCCAGATACATAAATATTCTATATACAAATATCGTATGGTAAAAGCCATAAAAAAGAAGTTAATTTAAAATCCGAATTTTGTTGATTTTTTTTTGATTTTTTTTTTTTTTTTTTACTTTTATCCACTTCCAGCTGGCAATAAATCAAATATTCTTACAAACCAAATAGTAGAGCATCAAGTTGTTTCGTTTACTTGTATCCCTTTCTACGAGCAAATCTTTGTGTATAATTTATACAGAATATATACAGAATGATATCAAAAATACATTTCACTTCCAAAAATGAAACTAATTTACTAAGGACCAATTTGGTCACAAAATCAATCATCCCATATGACTACTTTAACCCAACTCTCTTTACTCTATATTGATTTGCTGAAAACCTTGTCACAAACAAACATGCTTGCATGCCGACATAAGCTCGTGGGCTTCGCCCATGTAAGTATGGTCTTGTTAAACGATTGTCTTCATTTAGTTTTAGCAAATGTTTGCTTTACTTATATTTGTCGATCTGTTCATCAAATTTGTGTTTTAACCATATATGTTAGTATGCTATATAAAAAATGACCAATTGTAATTTTTCTAATTCATGTATCACCGAATATGATAAGAGGAAAATAGTATTTAAATCTGCGTCCTTCTGTTTGTCATATATTGCATTCCGTGCAATACATTTCTTGAAATGATGACACCTCTATGTTTATTTTATAATAAGATGCATATTACTACTAACATTCATAATGCAGAAAAAATGTTCTTTATCATTTGGCTAACACTGCTGACTGCATTGAATGAAAACTGACGACAAATAAATACGAATTTGATATTTCCAACAATGAGTAAATAGTTACCTTGACTGCATGTGTTTCCCATCCATCCTTCTGTACATCCTGGTACAGAACATACACCATCCGTCCTGTTACAACGAGAGCTAGCACAATGACAGGTCTGATTACAGTCTCGTCCAAACGTAGTATTGACACACTCTATATAATTAAACATACAGCGAGATCTAAATGTAGAACAGACAACTTCTCATAACGAACTACAAAGTCATTTGTGATATGTGTGTATCAAGATAGGTATATTATTTGATCAAATATCCACTAACTATGAAATATGTTTTGTACTTTATATGCTGCTATTTGAAAAAGAAATTTGTTTACATTCCTATTTTTGGAGGTGGGGAACAACCTTAACTGACTTAGTTTGAAAATACTTGAGTATTCATCACATTTAAACTCTAAAATGCTTTCTTCTTGTTAGTTTTGTGCGAGGTGTAATAATATCATAAATGATAGAAATATCTATCTTGATTTAATTCATAACATGTACATGACTAAAATGCTTAAACGCTTTCTGTCTCGTTAATAAGTAAATTTTGCCCGAGTGTATTTACCCGTATACTGTATGTGTATGTATATTTGGTCGTCTGAGTGCCTTGTACTTTGTACACAAATATTCATCATTTTGTTCTTGTTTTTCCCGCAATGAAAATATTACCGATGATATACAACAAACTACAAGCAAATTAATCATTAGCAATATGCCGAAGGATGCATCTATTTAAAAAATAACTTTGTCGATGCCAAAGCTAACAAAAGAAAATATGCTGCTACATGTACACCATGTGAATATATTCTAAATTGTGGACTTTTCATTGTTTGTAAACATCGAGAACAATACAAAAACATTTTATAATGTACTTTTTACACCAGAATTTGATAGATAAGTAGCCCCTTTGCATGATTACTTTTAATGGTATTTTTGTTTTGTTTTTATAGCTTCTTAGGGTTAGGGCCCTGGGTTTAGCCTTCTTACAAACAGTGCCTGATCCGAGGAGGGATTCATTCTTCGTTTATATACTATTCTTTACATTTATTTCATATATATGTTTACCCTCTCATTCATCTAATCATTCAAAAAAAAAAAAAAAAAAAAAAAAAAAAAAAAAAAAAAAANATAAAGATGTAAATAGTGTCATGTTAAATATGTCGAAATAATCGTGAGTTGTCTAATTTCTTTCATATTTATTTTTACTCTCGCATTCACCCAATGACTATATTCATCCAGTCATCCACTGAAGCATAACAATTACGTCACTATGACTAAAAAGGATTTCAATAAAAGTGTAAATAGTGTTATGTCAAATATGTCAAAGTAATCATGGATTGTCTAATTTGTAGTTCTTTCTAATGTCTCAGCATACCATAAACCATGTCATATATTTTAGTTTATGTTCACGTTTTCATTTCGTAATGTTTGTCTTCTTAAAGATACATCGACATGAATGTATGTTTATTTATTCATTTTCATCTTGCAGTTATGATATCAAGCACTTGTAGCAGAAAATCAAATGATAAGAACTTCAACAGTGAAGCGATGAATAAAAAATAATGGGGAGCTTGGGGAAATGCAGAGTTGCATCACAAGCTATCCTGGTGATGAACTTATAAACGCATATGGAAGTGATACTGATGACCATGAATCTTTTAAACTTTCTGCAAACCGCTTTGCCTTACTTTGGACTTAGAGACGCAGACATGTGTTTCATGTTAATTGAGCTAACCCCCGATCAAATAGATAGAATTGCTAGCCTGCATAGTGTGCTGACTTCAACAAAAATGAGACTTATCTGATTAATTAAACAGTAAACATGGTACGCTGAGGCAAAGTTGACAATAGGTCTGTAAGATGCGGAGAAAAGGGACCCTGCTTTAAGCATGAGTTTTCATGGTTTTTTTCCTTAGATTAAATATGTGAAAACATATCAAGAAGTCAAACTTAATAGCATTGATCATATTATTATAAAAGTAGCTGCAAATATTAGAGCATACAGTTGTTTCGTTTACTTATATCCCTTTGTACGAGCAAAACTATGTTATTTTTTATACAGAATATATACAGAATGATATCAAAAATACATTTCACTTCCAAAAATGAAACAAATTTACCAATTTGGTCACAAAACCAATCATCCCATATGACTATTTGAACCCCACTCTCTTTCACTCTATATTGATTTGCTGAAAACCTTGTCACAAACAAACATGTGTGCATGCCGACATAAGCTCGTGGCCCATGTAAGTATGATCTTGTAAAACGATTGTCCTCCTTTAGGTTTAGCAAATGTTTGCTTAACTTATATATGTCGATCTATTCATCATATTTGTGTTATAACCATATATGTTAATATGCTACATAACAATGACCAATCGGAATTTTGCTAATTCATGTATCACCGAATGTGATAAGAGGGAAATAGTATTTAAATCCACCGTACTTCCGTTTGTCATAATCACCGCTATGTTTGTTTTATGATAAGATGCATATTATTAACATTCATTACGTAGAAAAAATGTTCTTTACCATTTGGCTAACACTGCTGACTGCATTGAATGAAAACTGACGGTAAATAAATACGAATATTATATTTCCAACAATACTTAAATCGTTACCTTGACTGCATGTGTTTCCCATCCATCCTTCTGTACATCCTGGTACAGAACATACACCATCCGTCCTGTTACAACGAGAGCTAGCACAATGACAGGTCTGATTACAGTCTCGTCCAAACGTAGTATTGACACACTCTATATAATTAAACATACAGCGAAATCTAAATGTAGAACAGACAACTTTTCGTAACGAACTACAAAGTCATTTGTGATATGTGTGTATGAAGATAGGTATAATATTTGCTCAAATATACACTAATTTTTTTGTACTTTATATGCTGCTGTTTGAAAAGGAAATTTGTTAACATTCCTATTTTTATGAGGTGGGGAACAACCTTAACTGACTTAGTTTGAAAACACTTGAGTATTCATCACATTGATACTTTAAAATGCTTTCTTCTTGTTAGTTTTTTTCTGCGAGATGTAATAATATCATAAATGATAGAAATATTTATCTTGATTTAATTCATAACATGTTAATGGCTAACATGGTTAAACACTTTCTGTCTAGCGAATAATGAAATTTTGTCTGATAGTATTTACACGTATAATATATGAGTATGTTTATTTGGTCGTCTCAGTGCCTTGTACTTTCTTACACAAATATTCAGCTTTTTTTTTGTCCCACAATGAAAAGTGAAATTCTTTTTCAGACAGTATATACTGTGTAAATATAGGTTTAAGACATAACTATTTTATGTCACTTTGACTGTATATACTGTAGGTCCTCGCAAACGTATTATTTGACATTTGATGACTTATTACTAAATTAAATAAAAGAAAGTTAATTACATTAATAATAAAGGGAACAAAGTCATAACGTTATCAGAACGATTTTTTCATGTCACAACCTATTCTCACTATATTACTGGTGGCGTTTAATGGAAATGGAATTTTTGTTCATAAACCTACGTTTATTACAGGACTGACCCGACCAGCCCGCCTGACATCCAACGTGGTCACACCTTCCATTTACATGGTCACACTCTTCTTGATGACAGTGACACACTTCGGAACAGTTCGAGCCAAAATGACCGGAGGAACATTCTGTGATAAGAGCGGTTTTCATAATATGACGGTGCCATGAAAAGATAATCTTTTGTTAATGTGATTGTTTGATATATAATGGTTAGGATTTTGATTCATAAACGTATGATGAATTATAAATAAACACTGCAAAATGAAATGAAATTGTTTAAATTTATATGACTTTATATATTTAATAAACACTCGAATTATTTATATAATGTGAGGTTCCACTGTTATTACCGATGATATACAACAAACTACAAGTAAATCAATCATTAGCAATATGCCGAAGAAAGTATCTACAGTATTTAAAAATTCACTTTGTCGATGCCAAAGCTAACAAAAATAAATATGTTACTACACCATGTGAACATATTCTCAATTGTGGACTTTTCAGTGTTTGTAAACATTGAAAACAATAGAAAAACATTTTATAATGTAAATTTTACACCAGATATTGATAGATCAGTTTTTGTTTTTATAGCTTCTTAGGGTTAGGGCCCTGGATTTAGCCTTCTTACAAACAGTGCCTGATCCAAGGAGGGATTCATTCTTCATTTCTATTCTATGCTTTACATTTACTTCATATTTATTTTTACTCTCGCATTCATCTAATCATTCAAACATTGTGGGGTTTTTTTTCAATAAAAGTAAAGATGTGAATAGTGTTATGTCAAATATGTCGAAATAATTGTGAGTTGTCTGATGTCTTTCATGTTTATTTTTTCTCTCGCATTCATCCAATGGCTCTTTTCATTCAGTCATCCACTGGAGCATAACAATAACGTCACTATGATTGAAAAGGATTTTAATAAAGATGTAAATAGTGTTATGTCAAATATGTGCAATGTAATCGTGAATTGTCTAATTTGTAGTTGTTTCTAATGTCTCAGCATACCATAAACCATGTCATATTTCAGTTTATGTTCACGTTCATTCATATTCTATCTACACTAATTATATATAATCGATTGATGATACATTACAGACATGATAACAAAATAAGACCAGGGAAAATATTTACATATCCTACAATATGTAGCGATGCAAATATTTTCATATAGAAAGTTAGGTACAGATACATATATTATAATTTTGGTTTATTAATACATTTATGATAGAAATTTTACCAAGTGGCGATAATTTTCTTCTTTTTCCCCCAGTTTTTTTTATAAGAAACTTAATTAAATCTGTGTGTTCTGTAAGTGACAATAAAGAAGGCACTAGTCGTATCTACGTATCGGCAAACATGTTTACTTTTGTATATAAAACATCCTTAAAATATCGAAGCTAATTTCACTCATTGATTACATTATTATCCTAAATTACGGAATTTATCCTGATAGCATGTTTCTTACAATATTTAAATCATAAGCATAAGTGAGATATTTTATTTATGTTAAAACATTTATGTCTGTTTTGTATTAAGGTAATATTTTCAATTTAAACCAAGGTCCTTACTTTTTGTAAACATACCCTCATAAAAAGCGCGTCTGTTAACATGACCATAGAAGACATTAATTCCATATGAAATTGTAATATATGTATGTCTACACAAATCACATTGCTACCTACAATACACATACAGTTGTACTGTTACCCCTTCCGACCTACTGAAGTATTGAGCATTTCCGTGTTAAATCCAAAAAAACAGACCTATCCATTATTTCAAACGTCTCCCGTAATGATAAAGATAATGACATTATTTTTTTGTTAAATATATATACCATTTCAATCAAATTATTATGGACTATACATATCATAGACTGTGCATAGTTTGTCTCCTTCCTCCTTTACCTTGGCTACATGTTAAACCCTTCCAGCCAGCTGAACACCCCTGAGTCCCACACGTCCCTGTTCCTTTGTTACAGTCTGATAGGGCACAATGGCAGTTCTGGTTACAGTCTCGTCCGAATGTTCCGTTACTACACGCTTAGGTATAACAAAGATGTTCATGGTGTATAAAAATAATACAATTTATAATTCATATAATAAATGTACATGTACTATTTGAGAGGTTTAGTTATTCCAGTTCTTAACATAATTATAACGACGATGAAAAAAAGTTTTCCCTTTTTTATAAATCAATGTTGACGTTTATTCTCCGCTGGCACCATATCAGTGTTACCTTGGTTACAGGAATCACCATGCCAGCCTGCAAAACACCCTCCTGTACATCCAATTTGTTTATTACAGTCTTGCTTGGAACAATGACACTGCTGAATACAATTTCGTCCAAACGTCCCAGGGTCACAGACTGACAATGTATAAATCTTTTCGTAAATAACGAGTTTATATGGACCAATTCAATGAAGCAACGTGAGGTAAAAGTAATGGCAAATCCAATTGTTCTGTGGCATACACTCTTGATCAATCCCCCTTAATTAAATACGCCTTTTGAAATACAAAAATCAACTTGGAGCATTTAAGATAAAAAAAATCAACAGAGTGTAGTTTTCAATTTTCGAAATTCAATATTTACGAAATCCAATTCGTGCATATGTATCAATCAGGTAACATTAACATTTTGGTAAAAAACGTATGGGATTTTTTGTGAGAAAGTATGGGTTATATTACAGTTTTTCCTCTTTTCCTCTTTTCCTCTAAGGTAATTACAAGAAAAATGGTAACCATGACCTCACACTTACATTTATTATGCATTAAATGATAACAAAAGGTTACAGTCAGATGCGGCACAATGACAGTTCTGGTTACAGCTTTGTCCGAATTTCCCATAAATGCAAGCTTAGGTTAAACAAAGATGTTCATAATGTATAAAAACAATCTTTTACTTCAAAATAAAGGTACCATTTCAGAGATTTGATTATTCCACTTCTCAATATTAATAATACATGAAAAAGGCAATATTTATCAACAAATTCATAAATGGTCCATTACTTTAATGGAGCATGCTGGATGCATGTACAGTTGTTACGGCACAATTTCTCACACAGACACGATTCCTCCTCCGGATGAGAAATCGTACTCAAATTTTTGCGTTCGCAACACGATTTTTTTATTGCACAACGCACCAAAATTACCGTGCGCACACCGTCTGCACATCGTCTGCATATTGTGCTCTCGACTATGTGATTAAACAGTTGATCGTCCCGTTGAGCTATATACATATGTGTGATATGGCCAGATCGTTTGCTAGATGTTACAGAATTAAAACATGCGTGAGACTCGAATGAAAATAAAAAAACAACAAAATTTTATCCGTATTAAATATCGGATTGGTATATTTTGCCCTTTTCTATTTTTCCAGCTTGTTATACAGTATTACAACGAGTGTAAAACTGTCAATAGTGAGGTTGTACTGTCAGGTAAAGTATTAGTATACATGCATAGTTTATTGCATGGAATTCATTGCCGATTAGAGTTCATAAAAGATTTGACAGGTATCAAAACATAACTTGACCTTTGGGGTAAACATTTCACACATCCTTCACGGTTGAATAGTGAAATAATAATGTACTCTTTACCTGACAATATACAAGTAAATTGTAACATGATGGACAGCATGGATAAGTTGATATCCGCAAAGTTTGACTGTTTCCAGCAGCAAATCGCCGGTTCGCAGACAAGTTTGAGTGAGGTGCAGTTAGCTAAACTAGAAACAATGACCAAGGAATGTTATAAATTTAACAAGAAAGGAATTGAAGAACAATTCAAACTGAACACCAAGATTAGACAAAACATAAAGGAGGCGGAGGCGGCGCTCACAGAAAATGAAGCGATGGACACAATTTCGAAAGGTATTGAGATAATAGAATCTAGACAGAAACTGATTAAGATAGCAGATAGCTCGGAGTTTGGCTGGAAAACTGTCACAGCATATGAACAAAAAGAACTGGCTAATGATTTCGAGGATGAAAAACGAATGTATAAAGCGGAGAGCAGGGCACAGAAGAAAATGAAACAGAACACCGCACAGAAGAGAGCCAGGGCTACTGCCCGTCGGACGCACTCATACATACCGGAAGCGGAAGTAACAGCAACACAGGGGAGAATTTCGTCAACACACGAGACAACAAGCCGTCCTGGAACTTGTTTCAGTTGTGAGAAACCGGGCCACTGGCGGTTTGAATGTAGAGAGACTTTCAAGAAGGCGGATGAACGCCTTAGTATTGATAAGATAAGATAAGTATTGAATTAGAAAAATCGAGAAGTGAAAATGTGAAACCCGAGAGAGAGTTGTTGTTTCTCCAGTGGGCAGGCTGATGGCCGCATATGATTTTTTGGTTAGAATACGGACCGATAGGGCAGTTTTAGAAGTCGTTAGGTTTGTTACAAGATTCCTTTTATGTCTTTGCCTCCTAGCGCAGATATTAGTAATAATAAATCGGCGAGAGAACAGGTTTATTTCGTTCAGCGGGAATTGGCAAAACGTTTAGAAAAGGGCTGTATTTCTGAAGTGAACGAGAAACCACACGTTGTGAATCCTTTAACGGTTGCGGACAACAAAGAGAAACTGAGGTTGGTTTTTGACTGTTGGCATATCGATCCTCATATTTATAAGTATGAAAATATCGTGGTTGCCAAAGATGTTTTTTCAAAAGGTGATTTTATTTTCGGTTTTGATTTGAAATCGGCTTACCAACACATTGAGATTTTTGAGGCGCACAGAACTTCCCTAGGCTTCGCATGGGATTTTAAGGCAGGGCGTGGGTATTTTTGTTTTAACGTCTTAATATATGGAATATCTTCGGCAGGTTACATATTTACCAAAGTAACAAGGGCAGTGGTGAGATTTTGGAGATCACAAAGGGAGAGCATCGTGATGTTATTAGATGATGGTCTTGGAGGAGCAAATAGCAAAGAGAGAGAAAAGGTTTTCAGTATGAAGGCAAAGAAAGATTTAGAAAGTGCAGGTTTTTTGATCGAACATGAAAAATGTAGCTGGGAGCCGCAGAGTGAGTTAGTTTGGTTGGGCCTTAGATGGCAGATGACTGAAGGTAAAGTATATGTGACAGATAGAAGGGTACAGAGATTGAGTCACAGCATTTAGCAGTTAGAGCTCAAGCTGAGTAGTGGGAATACTGTCGCAGTGAAGGAGTTGGCAGGTTTAGCTGGGCGGGTAGTTTCAATGCATCCTGCTATTGGTAATTTGGCACAGTTGAAAACAAAGAACATATTTAAGTTTATAAACAGTAAAGCAAGCTGGAAGGCACCAGTGGCAGTGAGTGAGGATCAAAAAGGGAATTGAGGTTCTGGAAAAGGAAAATTTGGGATGTTAATGGCAGGGACATTAACTATGTGTTTGAGGCAGACATTAGTGTTTTCACAGATGCCTCAGATGGAGGATATGGAGGTTATATTGTGCAAGAGGAAAAATCTTTTGTATTTGGTAATTGGACAGCCTCTGAGAGCCAGCAGAGCGCAACATGGAGAGAACTTGAGGCAATTAGGCGAATGTTAAACTTTAAAGGAGCATGTCTGGAAGGGCATAGAGTGCAGTTGCACACAGACAATCTGAATGTTGTGAAGATCGTTGAGAAAGGCAGTAGAAAGCCAGGTCTGCATGATATTGCAATAGATATTTTCAATACATGTCAGGGGAATGATAAATTGATCAAGCCATTCTGGGTTAAGCGGGACAGGAATGAGATAGCAGACGGGTTGAGCAGAGTCAGAGACAGTAATGACGGGTGCATAGATGATTGTACTTTCAGGAAGTTAGATACACTTTGGGGGCCCCACACCTGTGACAGGTTTGCAAATAATTTGAATTCCAAATGTGTATGTCTTAATTCCAGATACGAGTGATATTGATGCTTTTTAGCAGCCCTGGGGTGCAGGTGTAAATCTATGGGTCCCTTCTCCTAGATTGATATGTAAAACCATCCAAAAGGCTGTGAAGGAAAAAGCAAATTGAACAATGATAATTCCATTACGGAAGTCTGCACCTTTTTGGCCAAAAGTTTGTGACAAAAATGGTTTTAAACCTCTTGTTAAAAAGTTCAAAATATCGGATTCTAGTGTTGTTCAGAAAGGGTTGGGGAAAATGTTATATTTGGGGATGGAAAGACCAAATTTAAAATGGTGGCATTGCGTTTCAAAGCATGAATGATTGCTTTTTCAGGCCTAGGAATGAAAGACGCTATTGAAGACGAGGTCATCAGAGGTTGACACTTAACCGAAAATTTAAAGAGCCTGGCAGGGAGCATGACTACACACATCATAAAATCCAGAAGTAACAGTACAAATTCGAAGTATTTCAGGGACGTTCAGAAATGGGAAAGGTTTATAACAGCGGAAGGTGGGTGTGCGATTCCAGGACAGCCTATTCATGTGGCCCTTTATCTTACTAAACTGATCAATAACAATGTCTCATTCACCTCTATACAAAGAGCGTATTATTCTATTAAGTAGGCGCACGCGGTTCGCGGTTTGGTTAACCCAACCGACAATCTTTTTGTGTCTTCCATGTTGGAATCAGCAAAAAGACAAAACAGTGTTCCAGTTCAAAAGAAAGACATTATTTCAACTAGTAATATCATAGATTAATATAGTTAGTACAAGAGTTCGAGAGATTTGTTTGTGTTGAGAGATTTATCCATGATTACTTTGTGCTATGCAGGTCTTTTTAAGGTTTAGTGAGGTCAGTAGTCTGTGGGGTATAGATCTTAGTTTTGGAGATGGATTTGTACAATTATACATTCAAAAAAGTAAGACAGACCAGTACAGGCAGGGCAACAAGGTGCTTATATCAGAAGGTATCTCTGACGCATGTCCATGCAAAATGGTGAAGAGGAACATTGAAGTTGCTGACATAGATTGAAGTTCAAAAGATTTTTTGTGTAAGCCAGTTTACAGGTCAGGTTCTAGATGTGCACTCATACATAAACAGAAGGCTATTAGTTATACTAGGGCAAGGGAGATAATCCTAGCATGGCTTAGAGAAGTGTGTGGAGCACAGGCCAATTTGGGCTTACACTCGATGAGAGCCTCGGGGGCGTCTATGGCAGCTAGGTCGTCTACCAATGAGAGGTGTTGGAAGAGGCATGGGGGTACTAACGATGGTTATGTAGAGGATACTCTGGAGAAGCGTTTAGATGTTACTAAAGTGTTGAATTTGTAGCAGTCTCGTTTAGTACATGTACTTTTATGAAGTATTTGGTAGGGACATTTGCGGTGGTTTACTAGTCTATTGAGCCGATGGTTCATGCATTCTCAATGTTTTGTGAATTGCCATTCAGTTAATATTGTCCCTAAATTAAAAAAAAAAAAAATCTTATTTATATTTCCATTTGTTCTAGCTTTCCCGTTCTTTGGTGTCTCTAGCAGTGCTGCTGCGTGACCGGCAATCGCAGATATGGTGTTGTTATTTCATTATAGGCTATTGGGTAGCACTGCAGGGAAGTCAGTAACAGTATAGAACAGACGGGTTGTTGATAACAAAATAGACTGATACATACATAACAGTACTCACCGATAAACTGACCGAACGCTTATCGAGTGACACTGTAGGGGATCTGAAGCGGATAGGTGAACGAGCATTCGACACAACTAAACCACGCCACGTGACTAAATCAAACCGTCTTGTAGAAAAATCAACACCACACAACACCAGCACAGATGCAGCTCTGAATGATTCTATGCTAAACAAATGGGTAGTCAACATCTCTAATAAGGAGCACGCCAGTAGCGAGAAAACGTTACTCGCTAAGGGTATGAACTATGCCATCGTTCCAGATAAAATTCCGGTTGATGATTTTGTTATAGCCACAGAACAGGCATGTAAGAAACTTAGCTATGCTGAGGCTGATCAACTGAGATCCCAAGTAATGGGGGTTTTGAAATCCACGAAATTACCAACAAGTAACATGACGAAAGAAGAACGGGTCGCACTCCAAACATTAGGCAGAGACAAATCCATTACCATACTACCAGCTGACAAGGGGAAGACAACAGTTGTCATGGACACCAAAGACTATGAGGCCAAGGGCCAATGTCACAACTATGCTACAGGACAACAAGACATATACAGACCAATCCAACCCAAAAGTTTAAAAGGCGTCTCATAGCCCTACTATCAAAATTAAAACAAGAGAACAAGATTACCGAGGGCCAATACAGATATCTGTATCCCACAGCAGAAAACACTCCTAGAATGTACTGTACACCCAAGATCCACAAGCAGGGAAACCCACTGAGGCATATTGTGGACTACACTGGATCCATTGGTTACAATGTTTCCAGATCATATGCAGACATTCTTGGACCGCGAGTGGGTAAATCGAAACACCATATAAAGAATTCAAAACATCTAGCGGAAGCTATGTCTACCATTATGATTCAGGGAAAAGAAGAATTGATTTCACATGATGTTGTCTCTCTCTTTACTAACACACCCATTGACTACGCACTTAGAATCATTCGGAAACGCTTAGACTCAGATTCAGGAAATCATGGAATTGCTGGAGTTTTTGCTCACAGCAACGTATTTTAGTTTCCGGAACAACATCTATCAACAACGCTTCGGCACTGTTATGGGTAGTACAGTGTTTCCCATTGTTGCCAATTTGTTCATGGAACATCTGGAGTAAGAAGCAATAGCCACTGCCCCAATAGAATGCAAGCCTAGCTTATGGAAACGTTATGTTGACGACATACTTGAGATAATCAAGAAGGAGTCACAGAAAGATTTGACCAAACATATCAACACTATAGATGCCACTAACAACATCAAATTTACATGTGAGGAAGAAACGAACGGCACAATGCCCTTCCTAGACACTCTACTGGTAAAGAAAGAAGACGGAACCGCGAAGGTATTGTCTATAGAAAAAAGACTGATACGGACCAATACCTGAACTTCTAATCTCACCATCATTTACACCAGAAGTAAGGCGTCACACGCACGTTTCTCAACATATATGATACAATAGTCACAGAACAACAGGACAAAACACAAGAGCAGAATCACATCACTAGGGCATGAGAACATGTGCATATCCGGAATGGGCCCTAAAACGGGTAAAAAAACCAGTGTCAAAGTAAAGGGTACATCCGAAACCATCCAGAGGATATATCGAGGTCATGGCATAGCAACAGCCATGAAGCCCCACAAGACGCTTCGAAATATCCTAGTACACCCTAAGGATAAAACACCTAAAAAAAGAAAAGGTCGCAGAATGCGTATACAAAATCAGTTGCAAAACCTGCGACTCGTCGTATATTGGAGAGACTGGAAGGCGATTTGGCCTCCGCCTTGGTGAACACTGGAAAGATACAGAAACCCAAGAAGGTAGGAAATTCACCAGATCTGAAAGAAAGCAGTCGGAGTCCAAGATAAATAATTCGGTAATCACAGACCATGCCACACAGAACAACCATGTGATTGACTGGGATAGCTCCAAAGTTTTGGACAGAGAGAGCAATCTATTCAAGCGGCAGATAAAAGAAGCCATCTGGATACGCCGCAGTGGGCCAGTTCTAAATCGCACATCTATGATCAAGTGTTAACAAAGCGTAGCTGAATTGAGTCATTTCGGTACATATATAACAACTATTGTACATACGTTTACAGCGTAGCCGAAATCGCCATCGATTTTATGGACAACTCGTACCCATTTTACACCTTTGTGTGCATACGCTTCATTGGTTATTTGTCTGATGAAGGTGACAGTGTACATATCGTACTAGTAATCGAAACGTCACATAGATAATTTCATTGGTTGTGTAAAAAGAACTTCTCATAATAGTATTGTTGTGTTTTTTAAACAAACCAAATAGATAGATGTAAAATTATTTCACATATAGACACGGTCCCATATACCGGTAAACATAGCCCTTTATACGTGTACCTAGACCGTATTTTACCCCAACTGGGGTACTTACATAACTTGTCAAGGTGTGAAAATTCAGGTGAAGGGGAGTTTAGAACAAACCAAATGCAATTAACAAATAGTTAACGTCCAGTTGTGTTTTCATAACAGTCATACGGTATCATATATCGGTTCTCCATGTCAAACACATGGCGCCAGGTATAACTCCGGTCACAACATCAAAATGTTATTTAGCTGTTCTGTTACCTGGGAGCCAAACCCATACTTGGCAGTCTAACTTTCACTGTAATACTGTGTAACACGCATTGTAAAATTGAACATAATCTAAATTAATATGATGAGAAATGTATACATACAGTGTTCCTTATTCCATACGAGCCTTCCTGATTCCGTTATATTGATCAGCCAATTTTACCAAATTGCACATTTGTGCGGAGAGAAGCGAACAACGGGGCGAACGATTATTAAATCGCACAGTGGTGCGCACCATGTACGGACGATGTGCGGACGGTGTGTGCGCGATGTATGTACTATGTGCGCACATTATTTTTGGTGTGTTGTGCGGTCACAAAACTGTTATATTATAATACAAATGACGAAACAAAAAATGTTTCTCTCTCCTTTTATTATATAAACAAATGTTTACATCTTTTCACATATGTCGCAATATTAGTCTTACCTTTGTTACAGGAATCGCCCTGCCAGCCAGTCAAACACCCTCCTGTACATCCTCCCGTTTGTTTATCACAGTCTAGCTTTGAACAATGACACTGCTGAGTGCAATTTTGTCCAAACGTCCCAGGGTCACATGCTGTCAATGTTCAAGTCTTTTCGTTACTATTGAGGGTATCGCCATCATCTTAATCGCACAGTAAGGTAAATGTTCACTGAATATTTAATATGATTTGTATTCAATGTTCTTTGATAAATACTTCTCCGTGTGACAATAACAAATCTAAATTGCAAATGTAAAAGTAACTTTGTAACATTAAAGATATTGTGTTGTTTTGTATAGAATTGCGTGTGAGGCAAATAGCCATATGTAGATATTCAGCAATTAGTATTATAAAAACAATGACGAAAAACGTGTTAATGTTCTTTATCGTAAACCAATGTTTACATCTTTTCTCCTCCGTCGCAATATTAGTCTTACCTTGGTTACAGGAATCGCCCTGCCAGCCAGCCAAACACCCTCCTGTACATCCTCCCGTTTGTTTATCACAGTCTTGCTTTGAACAATGACACTGCTGAGTGCAATTTTGTCCAAACGTCCCAGGGTCACATGCTGTCAATGTTCAAGTCTTTTCGTTACTATTGAGTGTATTGCCATCATCTTAATCGCACAGTATTGTAAATGTTCACTGAATATTTAATATGATTTGTATTCAATGTTCTTTGATAAATACTTCTCCGTGTGACAATAACAAATCTAAATTGCAAATGTAAAAGTAACTTTGTAACATTAAAGATATTGTGTTGTTTTGTATAGAATTGCGTGTGAGGCAAATGGCCATATGTAGATATTCAGCAATTAGTATTATAAAAACAATGACGAAAAACGTGTTTATGTTCTTTATCGTAAACCAATGTTTACATCTTTTCTCCTCCGTCGCAATATTAGTCTTACCTTGGTTACAGGAATCGCCCTGCCAGCCAGCCAAACACCCTCCTGTACATCCTCCCGTTTGTTTATCACAGTCTTGCTTTGAACAATGACACTGCTGAGTGCAATTTTGTCCAAACGTCCCAGGGTCACATGCTGTCAATGTTCAAGTCTTTTCGTTACTATTGAGTGTATTGCCATCATCTTAATCGCACAGTATTGTAAATGTTCACTGAATATTTAATATGATTTGTATTCAATGTTCTTTGATAAATACTTCTCCGTGTGACAATAACAAATCTAAATTGCAAATGTAAAAGTAACTTTGTAACATTAAAGATATTGTGTTGTTTTGTATAGAATTGCGTGTGAGGCAAATGGCCATATGTAGATATTCAGCAATTAGTATTATAAAAACAATGACGAAAAACGTGTTTATGTTCTTTATCGTAAACCAATGTTTACATCTTTTCTCCTTCGTCGCAATATTAGTCTTACCTTGGTTACAGGAATCGCCCTGCCAGCCAGCCAAACACCCTCCTGTACATCCTCCCGTTTGTTTATCACAGTCTTGCTTTGAACAATGACACTGCTGAGTGCAATTTTGTCCAAACGTCCCAGGGTCACATGCTGTCAATGTTCAAGTCTTTTCGTTACTATTGAGTGTATTGCCATCATCTTAATCGCACAGTAAGGTAAATGTTCACTGAATATTTAATTTGATTTGTATTCAATGTTCTTTGATAAATACTTCTCCGTGTGACAATAACAAATCTAAATTGCAAATGTAAAAGTAACTTTGTAACATTAAAGATTTTGTGTTGTTTTGTATAGAATTGCGTGTGAGGCAAATGACCATATGTAGATATTCAGCAATTAGTATTATAAAAACAATGACGAAAAACGTGTTTGTGTTCTTTATCGTAAACCAATGTTTACATCTTTTCTCCTCCGTCACAATATTAGTCTTACCTTGTTGACATGAATCGCCCTGCCAGCCAGTCAAACACCCTCCTGTACATCTTCCCATTTTTTTATCACAGTCTTGCTTAGAACAATGACAATGCTGATGACAATTCTGCCCAAAAGTCCCTGTGTCACATGCTGAACAAGGTAAATTTATTTTACTAACACGAATTATTTAGATCATGTAAATAGCACAAAATGATGTAAAATTCAGACTCATTTCATTTTGTATATTATTTTCGTCCACGATAAATCACCCTTACCTGATGTGTTACTAATTTAATCTATAATTCAAATCGACATTATAACCCTGTAACATTTTATGATATGATTGAGTTGGTTTTTTTCAAACGCTTAAGATATTTTTTGATGAGATAAGTATAAAATTTCACTTATCTTATTTATAATAATGATGAAAATAATGATAATGGTTACCTTGACTACATGTTAAACCCTTCCATCCAGCTGAACATCCCTGAGGTCCACACGTCCCCGTTTGTTTGTTACAGTCAGCGGTGGCACAGTGACAGGTCTGGCTACAGCCTTGTCCGAATAAACCATGTTCACAGTCTACAATACAATGATACAAATATACATACCATTGTGCTAGCGTTATCACGCAGAATTGTTTCAACATGTCGTTACTATTATAGATCATCGGTCAGCATCGGTCAAGAGGTTATTATAATTGAATTAACAGTAACACGTTAGCATCCATCTCCATTTTGATAAGAAAACGAATTTCTTTACGGAGCAAATCCTACACCCGTAACTATGTACGGAAGGAATGGTTTATTTATCGTTGCATGCTGATTTGAGATGCATTAGCTTTGGGACATATTTACAACATTATATAAACCAATCAAAGATTGTTATTAGGCCAAAGGGGCTGCTAAGTCCAGGGCCAATCTTGTGTCTCACAAGTTTTTTCCATCTCGTATTGTTTTTCATTCCATTGGCGAACATTCCTGTATTATTGCAGTAAGTATGTTCAAACCTTTACTAAATGTCATTTGTCTCTTTTATTTCCTTTGTCTTTTTTAGCGTTGACTCCATAATGACATAATGACACAAAATACGTGTTCTGTACATGATCCCTTAAACAACGAAAACAAAAAGTCATAAAGCTCGAAGCAATCACTTCGTTTAGTAAGTATAAATCTGGATTCGGACTGATATAACCAGAAGTTGAAATGTAAAATATTACATACGCAATTCGAGAGATACTTTAAGTGGGAATATGAAAAATGTATATTTGATTAATTTTTGTTCTCTCTAAAACAGATTAATCTTCACAGTTGTTCAACTTCATCTATGAAATGCATGTATTTTGCATCAATCATGCTGCTACGACTACCTTCGTTACACGAATCACCCTTCAATCCAGCGGAACACCCTGAAATATCAATAATCAAATATTTGTTCGTTAGTATATGTATGCATCATCAAGTGATCTTACATATTTAATGACATTCTATGAAAATGTATTTAAAAACTTCTTTGCATGTACATTTGAAGGATCGCACAACCTCACACGATGTGCGTTGTGGGCGCGATGTGTGCACGGTGTGTACACGACGTGTGTACGATGTGCAAATGATAAAAATCTGGACGGTTACTGCTTGCGCACATTTGTGCGAAAGAAGGACATGCGTTGTGCGATGACAATCATGGTTGGTGTAAATTGAGAAATGGGTTAACGATATATACGGTTTTCGTGTTTTAAAATATAAAGTTGATTTTTAAGTATATTTCTATATTCTAGGTACATGTTAGAGCTGATCTTTCTATCTGTATTTTCTTAAATTTAAAAATGATGTTTACCTGGTTTTGTAAACTACACAAATCGACACATGTAAAAAACACATATAACGTGGTCCCATATACAGGTAAACACAGCCACATTGTACATTGACCTGGACTGTAGTTTTCCCCACCCCAGGCAGTTACGTAACTCGCCAAGGTGTGCCAGTGTGGAGGGGAGCTATAGATTAAAACGAATGCAAATTACAAATACTAAACGTCCAGTTTTGTTTATAACAGTAATACGATATCATATATAGGCTCTCTATGCACAGGGCTCCAGGTATAACTCCAGTCACTCATCACAATGCTATTTACCTATCCTGTTACCTGGGAACCAAACCCATTCTTGACAGTCTAACGGTCACAGTAATACTGTGTAGCACGCATTGTCAAATTGAACATAATACTAATTGATATGATGAGAAATTTATATATACAGGTTTCCGTATATGAGGGTTCCGGATGTTTTTTCATTCTGTAATATTCATTAAAATATTGTTCCAAATTGCACATTTGTGCGGAGAGAAGCGCATAACGGGGCGAACGATTGTTGACGATATGTGGACGGTGTATGCATGATGTATGCACGATTTGCGCACGCTATTTTATGTGCGTGGTGCGGTCACACAACTGTATACATACTAAACAACTTTTAAATTGTAACATTTTTGAGTATATTGTTTGATACACATAATCGTAATATTCCATAATTCGTATGGTAGTATATTGTCCCGTGGCTGTACGACATATCAAAGGAACCTTTACATTTGACCGTCACATCCATGTAAATATTCCACGTCTGTATTTCACACAATTATGACACACGGTTCTTTATGAAATGATAGGTGTTAAAAAAATTAAAATCAACCATCTAACATTAAATGTAACGGTTTGACATAATCCCAATTTAGTATGATGAACAATATAATGGGAATGTGAGTTGCGTTTTATACCAAAAACTATCAAAAAGACGAATCTGTGTTGCTCATTCCAACCTCAATTGAATGAGTCACCTGTTGAAATATTACTGCAAAGTCTTGGTGTAAGCTTTCACTCATGCGTGTACATTTGCACATAACAATTGTTAGTAAATATGAGTGTCAGATTAGAGCTTAATTTTGTTTGCTTTGAAAAGTTTCCTTCGTTTTGCTTACATGAAGTGTACAATCACCATATACTAAACCATCGATAGAGACAGTTTGGGCTTGCAGAAAGAATACTTACAATATGTAACTGGTCAAATTTTCCCGGGAACGGGGAACTGTTATACAAAATATCAGTATCCTAGTTCAAATACTGAAAGTTACCAGGGTCATTCACTATAGTACCGGCCTAGACCATTTATCGATCCGTTACGCCCGCATGCTTTGCACGTACATTTAGTGTACATGTTAATATATCTTTTGTATATCGTCAAAATTCAGTAAAAGAAATCAAAAACAGTCACAAACGTGGTAAAAACTTATGACTAGGGTAACCCTTTCAAACTTTCGGCGAAAGTTAAACACAAGTCTTTTGTCAAATGCCTTATCTGACTAACTGTCAGCACAAATTTAAGCGTAGTCGATTAAGCCTTGAAGATGTGCCACGTCCTTGCAAACCTGTGTAGGTGACCAACGTTACAAACATTGAAGCTCGGAGAAAGCTATTTGTGGAAGACTGGCGAGGGATAGTTTCCGAAATGGCCAACGCATTAGACATTATATACGGAAGTTTTCATACAATTAAGCGTGATCGTAAAAGTATGAAAAAGTTGTCCACGCGATTGGTCCAAAAATCTTTCACTTACAACCAGAAGGATGTGCATGTTACAATGTCACTTAAGCATTGAGGTTGGTTGTTTTTAATTTTCATCGGGTTATGCAAAAAAGTGTTTTTGCAAACTTTATGAATCCGTAGCAAGGTTTGTAAAAACAACTAATTTTATAACTGGATGAACATTAAAAAAAATCAACCTCAATGCTTATAATTAATTTCAATTGATTGTCATGAAAACAAATCCATGAACATTGTGGCAACTCATCATATGCGGAATAATATTTCAACCAGCAACTTTGTTTATTGCGTTACCATGAAATGTCAAATGTCTCGTGCGATCAGCTGAGCGGAGAAGTCGTCGGCCATTTGAGTTAACTGCGGCGAGGCGGTAAAACACGATGTATGGCCTATTTTTGTCCGAAATTAAAGACGAAGTGCGCAAACGACGAGTGGCATAGAAGGCCGACAGAACGAAAGTTATTTGAAGAAGATAGCTTAGTTGATTGTGTCATGGGCAGCATTACCATCGTTGCAATTAAAGCAAGTGGACCTGAACACCTGTGTTGAATTTCGGTGACTGTGTGTGCTGGCGCAGTTTGTGTATGTGCACGTGTCACGGAATTATTTGAAGACTGGTGTTCGGTTGAACTCATAATGCCAGTCTTTCACATAAAGTGTACTTTTGGCTGGTAGAACATTTTTGACTGCAACTTCTTACAGAACTTTCGTTATTGTTCCCAAACATATTATAAACATAATATGCCGCAAGTCGAAGCCGGTTGCTCGAAGCAAAATTGCAATGTCATCATTCCGTTGCAATTTGATTTTATTTCCCAATTTCTACAGTCACGTTCATTGATTATGATTATGAATATGATATCCTGGTAGCTTAATGAAAATCATTCCAATTTCATTTGCGAAGATCCGCGTTCGAAGACCATGCATTTTTAAAATTTTAAAACTTCAAATTTTAAAGGTGTATTAACGTGTTTTTCATTGCAAACTTTGGCAACAATAGTAAGGTCCCCGATAACACCCCCCCCC